GGAAAAAAAAAAATACATAAATCGCAAATTTAAGGGCAAAGATTAGCGATCCAATTTTCCTTACCCTGAACTTCCAAATTGATCCGAATTTTTGAAACCAATTCTCTCCATTTCCCTCCCACCCACTAACCCAGACTGATGTATTCATGTACTCCCAACACTGAACAGAATAAGGTAAAGTGTTAGTCAGGAAGAGATACATCAGGGCAGCAAAAAACCTTCCCACCCACCCAAAAACAAACATAAAAAAATAAAAACAAACAAATAAATTGAAGAACGAGTGGATTTTAAAGATGACAATTTTGTATGCTTTAGAAAACTACTCTTAAACAGGTGAGATGATCTCCACCCCATTCTTCCAAATAAAAGCAAGCAAAACCTAAAATGAAATCAAAACCCCAACCAACTTGGCAAAGACCACAGCACATCCAATCACATGCTGCTTTACAGCATCTCAGGAACGAACCGTGATTTTCACAGCAAGTGGTTACTGAAAAACACTGGGCTGCTGCCAAAGAGCCCAGTAACTTATATACTCCTCTCTATGGACAGATGTTTAAAATCCCCCAAAAGAAATCAAAGCCGATTACACTGGTGATGTACACACCGAGGGGTATGTGCTATAGAGAAGAGAATACAAGCTTGGATTCAAGCAATGTCACTGGGAAAAGTTTGCACGTTGTAGAATATGGGATAAATAAACTTTGCTTAGAATTTGGTAACTAACCATACAGTTAGAACAAACTTTAATTGTATCAGGGAAACCTAGCAGTAGACAAAGCCAATCCATTAAAAAATAATAATAATCTCACCTGTATTTGACTTTTTATGGGGACATTGGTGATGTTAAACTCCAACATAAAATTAAGCTAATCCTGTGCCAATAAATCACTATAAAGGCAAAACTGTATCCCTCCCAACCCACCCCATAAAGTTGCAACCCTCAGAACATCATGGGTCAAAACGTTTAACTTATTCAAAAAGCAGCAGAAGGGCTAAAGTGTCTCAAGCAAGCCCCTGTCAATCCTTAGAAATGGGAAGAAAAAAAAATATCATCACTCAAAAAGGCTATTAGTGTTTGGGGGAGGGGCCATAAATATTCAGCTGAAAAAGAAAAAGTAATTTGGTTATCAGCACTCAAGAAATACCTAGATACCCCAAATACCTAGCCCATGTTAAATACCCTTGTCCCTACCACAATACTTCCTCAAAAAAAAATAAAAAATAATAATAAATAAAATACATCTCCCCTTCAGTCTATACACCTCTGCCCTAACCGAGGAAGTGCTCCCAGAACACGTGCAGCCCGTATTATTGCCCAACCCTTGAACTAAAGTTCAAACTTAAGTGCAGCCCACACTGCAAAGGTTTAGATTCTTCTGTTAAGTCTGTGCAGCATCTCAAGAACATGGTCTTGTTACAAAAAAAAAAAAAAAA